AGCAAGGCAGCACCTTCACCCATTGTGGCAAAACCCCCGAGAGCCACAGCCCAGTTCTCCCCTGCAGCGTCGGCCGCGGCTCGTGGCCTTTGCTGGTGACACCGAGGGTTGTCCTCATGACCCCTTCGGAGCAGCTGTTAAGCTCCAGCTTGGCCAGGCTTTCGGAGGATTCCTGAGGAGCACAGGTCATGCAGTGTTCCGTCATTAGTCATGCTTTGTGACCACTTGCAGTATTGTGTACGGTTTCTTTAGTATCTTGGAGCAGAAAGCAATAAAACCCCAACCTATCTGCTCTACGACAAGGACTCTTTGATTAAAGGAGTCATGTGAGAAGGCTCAAACTGTCTCGGGGGTTGTGCCCAAGTGCCTTCAGGCCAAGTTGTAAGTGCCCCATGTGATGAGCTTTCCTGCATTTTATGTGCTCCCCTGTGGAAAAAGCCTTTCCCAATATTCAGCAGACCTTTGCAGCCTCTCTTGCATGTCTCCTTTATCTGTGGCTGGGCTTAAGAAACTCCAGCAGGAGGAAGACCGACATTGTCAGAGCACCTGTAGATGACTTTGGCGTGTGTATTCTTCTTGATTCTGCTCTCCACAGATGACTAGCCCAGAAGGTGGCTTCGGGGGCCTGGCTCTCCTCTGTTTTCTCAGAGAGGTTTCTGCTGTGCCTGTCTGAGACCTTGCTTCCCAAAACCAGCAGTGAGAGCAATCTCTGACCTGCTGTTGCTAGAAGGAACATTTCCACACACACCCCTTTTGGCTTCTTTCTCTAGGCGCATCCTAGCCTGGCTCTGCTCTCTTTGTGTGAGGGTCACCCAGTGCTTATTGGACTGAGCTGGTTGTCACTGGAAGAGCCAAGATGCTGGCCCTGGTTGTATTTGACTTGAAGAAGCTATAAGCCAACACCTCCCTCCTGCTGTGGATGTATTTCTATGCTTGCTGACTCTTTCCTGTCCTTTAGTAAGAAATCCTGCTCTTCCATGAGATGTTACTGATGGTTCTTGGTATCAACCAGAATCGTATTTCTGTGAAGGTGACTTTCTGGAACACACCACACCTCGGTTCTGTGGGTGACAGGAAGAGCAAGGTAGGGCGTGACCATGCGTGTGACATTCTGAACAGCCACTCTCTGTGTCCTTCTTCCTAGGTGGGCAGAGAGCAGCTCAAAGGGGGAGGATAAAACATCTTCTTGCCCCAGGGGGTTTTGCTATGGTCTTTGTGGAGGAGAGGTTGGGGGCTTAAGATAAGGTGCCACTTGACCACTGAATGAAAGCCATGGCACCCTGTGTCACTGGACGTAGTTCGTGCAGAGCCTCCATGTGGTACTTTCTCCTCTGAACTCCTGTTGAGTGCTCCCAGAATGCCACTGGAGAAGGCTTGTCCTCACCAAGGTGCTTGTTGGTCCTTCTACCTGTCTCCAGTCTCCCACCAGACCACACCATGTCCTAACCTCTTTTCCATGCCGAGCGAGCTGTGGTAAGACCTCATGGGTGTTGCAAGTGACCAAGTACTGCTTTCCAACATGTCCCGTAGCCTGGTCCTCTTATTAGCTGCACTGAGAACTCAGGAAGGTTAAAATGCTCTTGGGGAGGTCTGAACAGGCGCTAACCATGGAAGCTGAAACACTTGGAGCTGGTCAGAACCAAACAGGCTGATGACAAAAGCTGCTCTATTAAACAAGTAGTCAGAGGTTCCGAGGAGAACTGCTGCCACCGTAATAAATCTAATCCGTTGGGCCTGGGAGGAAATGCCAGCATAGCCAGGACCTCTGCCATGGTCTTAGTACAGCTGTGCTTATGGAGGCAGATGCGTTCCTGTTGGGACCTGGCACTGGAAACTGGTGCTGGCGTTGCCCCTTCCACAGATGAGAAGAAGCTTTTCCAACTGCCCTGGCACTGGAAGGCTAATAGTTGTGATTGACTAAGCCATGGCTGTGTTTACTGGGACAAAGCAGGGACTGAATGAAAAGAACCGTGGTCTGGGCTTGTGTGAAGGAAATGGGGCTATCAGGAAGGATTGGGTAGTGGTGCTAGTGTCTGCTGGCCTCGGCAGGCACAAGAAGACCTTTGTCCTGCTGCAGCTCCCTTGTTCCTGTAAAGGTTTGAAATGCTGTCGCAGTGGAAATCTGAGTGAGAAATGTCCCATCTGCCTTGCATGTGGTAACTCCCCCTCTTGCAGGGCCGACCCCTTCTCTGACAGCAAGGTTTCAGCAGCTTGGAGAGAGAAAGTGTGCTTCTGAATGGTTGGTGCTGGGCCTCCTTGGCATTTGGTCTGTAGGCCATTTCCTCAGACTTCCTGAAGGAATGAGGCAGTTAAGGGCTATAAATGAAATGGGAAGAGCCATCCTTTGTACGCAGGCTTTGGAAGCCATCTGAGTTGTCTTTCCTGGGACCATCAGTCTGAAAGCAGGAGCTTCTCACGCATGAAGAGGGTCAGACTTGGGCTGCTTGCCCCAAATCCGGCTGTGGCTTTCATGCTGAGCTGGCCGGGGAGGGCATGGGTGAGCTTGGTGTGACTCCAGTAAGCCAAGAGCTAAGCTGTGAACAAAAAGGGCTCCAGGCACTTTCCTCAGTTCCTCTTGCATGGTTGACTTTGGCCAGGCTCCTTGGAAGGTGCAAATATCTTGCAGAGGGAAGATCCGTAGTAAGCCAGGAATAGGAGAGAGGTGTGCTAGTGTTCCATGCAGTGACTGTGTAGCCTGGAGATGCATCTGTGTTAAGGTGCAGATGCTTGTATTTACCAGGAACCAGCTGCTTGCTGCAAGGGACTTACCCTCAGGTCTCATAAACAGGCCCTTCTTGCTGTCCTGGAGATTGCAGTCATCTCCATGGTGAGAGTTGCACAAACAGAAGGAAGGACAATGACCTTGCAGATTAAAGGGCAAAAGGAGGTTTCCTACTATGTGGAGCTTGTGGTGATTGCCCTGGTTCTAGATTGAAGGTCCCTGGAAAGGTAGGCTGCAAACACAGAAGGGCTCTCTGCAAAACTAGTAGAGCCAGGAGGTGTCTTAGCCAGCTCTGCAGTGTGGAGAAAACGGCACCTGTTTGAGGAGGAACTAAGGTGTGGACTTGTTCAGGGACATGCCCTCTGAGCATATTTGAGAGCCCATCTAATAAAAACTACTGAAATCTGCCTCTAACTGGCTCTGCTTACCTGCCTTTGATGTGGTTCAAAGGGAAATGGAGCTGCTCCATGTCCTCCTCGGAATTATAAATATATTAGCTCAGAAATATAAAGTCCAGCAGCCTCCCAGTGCCTGTGTGACAAACATCTGCAGGACCTGCCCTTGCTCCAGTCCCCGTGGGCTGGCCCTCAGTTCCCTTTTCTCAGTACTCAGGTGCACATGGGAAGCCTGAACCTCAACAGAGCTCCAACACCAGGCGTGCCCAGCTCCTCCTGCTGTCCTAGGTCATTCCTGATCTCGTTTGGTTTGGAGCAGCTCCCGCCAAGGAGCCTCTTCAGGTCTTTCCCATCATCTAGCTTTTAGAGTTGGAGCTCCAGCAGCGAGAGCAAGGGAGTGTAAAATCCCAAATACCCTCCTCACCAGCATCTGTGCCCCTTCCTTGTGCTGCCAAGGGACATTTCCAAAGGCATCTTCTGTGAACTCGTCTTGCTTGATTTTTTTTTTTTGGGGGGGTTCTCAGCTTTCTTGGCTTATGGCTTAGCAGGTACTGAAGGTGCTCAGAACACCAATCTTGTTCTTGCTGGGGACACTTTTCTTCTCAGCTCCTTGTATTTACATGATGCCTTGATCACTTGCTTGGACCTTCTACATGGAGAAGGCAAGGCCACCAGCCTTTCTTGTTTTCCCAGTCTTCAGGCCAACTGTGTCTCCCTTCTTTGGCCGGACTTGGAGAACTGGGAGGTGATCTTTCACATCTGCTCGGCATTGGTGGAGGCCTCACCTGGAATACTGTGCCTAGTTCTGGGCTCCTCAGTGCAAGAGAAATGTGGGCATACTGGAGAGAAGGGCCACAAAGGGCTTGTGTTGGTGGAGCTCTTGCTGAGTGCCGTGGTCCCAGGCTGAGTGTCCCATTGCTGCAGTGCCAAAGACTGAATCTGCTCACCCTGTGTAAGCAGAGAGCTTGGTTAGGGATGTCACAACGTGGCCTAACGCAGGCAAAGTCTGCAAAAGAAGGCAAAGTTTGTAGCTTTTGATGGCAGAGGTGTGAAAAACCTTGTGTGCTGTTTGGTGAGGGGGTGAATGGAGGTTGGGTCAAAGCTGCCAGCCCTGTGATTTTGGGAAGGGAGCAGGTCTGCAGAAACGTGACAAGACTATGGAGAAAAAGCCACAGTGGAGCAGCACTTCTGTCACCGAGCTTGAGTTGGGCTGTCTGCAGAGGCCCCTTTGCTGGTGTCCCACCATAGACACTTCTGCACAGAACACGGAGATGTGAGGAGAGCAGTGGGAAGGCTGGAAAGACAAATGTTCCTAGTGACCTTGTGGGAGGCTGTGGGGAAGCTGGAGCCAGGCTCTTGGAGGAGTGTGGATGAGAGACAGTAGATAATTGGCCCCAGGGGAAATTCTGATTAGCTGTTAGGAAAAGACTTTTCATTGTGAGTGTGATCAGAATCCGAAGCAGAGCCCCAGGGAGGCTGTGGGATATACATCCTTGCAAATAATTCCAAGTTCAGCTGCACAAACCCCTGAGCAGCTAGAGCTGGCCGTGCTCGGAGCAGGACGTTGAAGACCTCCAGCAGTCTGGCTTGGAGCAGCCAGAGACATCCAGAAGTCTCTTCTAGTCTAACACTCTCCAGTGGTAGGTAGGAGTAGCCCAGATGGTTCGGTTCAGCCGTAGCACAAATCACAGCCTGGGGCTACGCTGGACTCCCTTTTCCTAGGCTGATGTCATCAGGAGACATTAAAGAGGTGCCACAGTTCTTCATGGGAAGGGTGCATCTTTCTGGAGATGTTCCTAGGGGCTGCAGATACATGCCTGTCTGGTGCCACTTGCTAGTCTTTGTGTCTGAGTTGTGACAGGCTTCTTTTTGCCTTCTTCCAGGTACAGCTACATGATTGACAACGTCATTCTGCTGATCACTGGGACACTGCACCAGCGTTCCATCTCCGAACTGGTGCCCAAGTGCCACCCTCTGGGAAGCTTCGAGCAGATGGAAGCTGTGAACATTGCTCAGACGCCTGCGGAGCTCTACAACGCGATCCTGGTGGACACTCCCCTGGGTGAGTGGAGCCTTTCAAAACACCTCTCAGCTGTGTTCCACAGCAGATGTCCCTTTCTCCCCGACTCCAACTAGGTCCAGCTAAGCTAAGGTTGTGCTCCAGGAAGACAACACAATGGGTGATGCACAACTGTGACTGTACTGCCTCTGGTGGCTGGGCTTGAGTTCAAGTTTAGGCCCATCCTGTGCCCCTTTTTTCCTCTGGAGGACCAGTTAGCCCTGTGTACCCTTCAACAAATGTCCAAACCAGCACACAGACTGCTGGGAAGTTGGCTTTGTGTGAGCCAGGCCTGGAGCTGTCATGGCAGCTCTGGTGTAGTTAGGTCTGATCTGCTAGGTGTGTCCATTTGCCAGCTCTTCTGGGAATCACCACCTGCAATTGAAGAGGAAGGATAAGGTCTGACAGGTCTGAGGCAACATGATCTTTTTCCTACCTGTCACAGGACACATGGTAGATGTGCTTCCTCAGGGAAGGGCTCTCAGGTCCTCTGCTGGAATGAGGCACCTCATTTCCTGCACTTTTCCTTCAGACCACTGGGCAGTTTCTTGTAGGCACTTTTTGTAGATAACTATAGAGATCTGCACATGCCCAGTCTTGTTCTGAGACTGATAAAATTAGCTCTAGATCAAGGAAAGCTCTTTAGACACCAAAAAAAACCCCAAACAACAGCAGTTAAAGAACAAAAAAACCCAAACAACTTCAAAAACCTTTTTAAGCTCATAGTACAGCAGGATCCTGCACTGAGTTCTGCTGTCTCAGGGCTCCAGGCCTTGACCTGGAGGCACATAACGTAAACACAAAGTGTCTTACGAACAGCTAGTCAGGCAGATAAGCTCTTTAAAGATAAAAGGTGTAGGCAGTGGTTGTTCTGGAGAAAATATGGAAGACTTTTTGCAGTAGTAGGAGAGGTAGTCACAGGAGACTTGCTAGTTTAGCCTCTGCAGGCAAAGCCATAGTGAGGTATGCCTGAGTCAGTGATTAATCATTCTTTTGGGGTTGCTAGAATGAACAAGGCAGTCTAAATCATCGCCTCATCTTTGACAGAAATAGTTGGGTTTGGAACTGAAAGAGCTTTTGCAAATGCTCCAAGTAATAATGGGCAAGTGAAGTAGTTGTCACGGAAAAATGTCTTGTCAGAGCCCAGCAAAGGAGGGAAAACGTATCTCAAGAGATCTGGGTTGCAATGTAGGGCAACAACGCAGCAGGAGGACTGAGGCTTTGTGTGTGGCTGAGTTGAGTCTGCTGTAGGGATGATGTGTGGGAAGACAATCCTCCTCACAGGCAAGCAGGACCCTTCCAGTTTGGGGAATAAGACAGAACAGAGCATTTCAAAGATTGTAGCTCACGGAGACCCTGAAGCTCCCAGCTGTGCGTGGAGTGAAAATGCCCTGAGACACTGGTGAGGTGGTTCTGGAGAACACAACTGGCAGCTGAGGGTCTTTGCCTCTTGCCTCCACATCTATGAGTCAGTTTTGTCTGCTTCTACCCCAGCTAGGCTGACTCCTGCAGACCTTTGCCCTGGCCATGCCCTTGAGGCTGTGTACCATCTCATGTGGCATTTCTTCAGACGGAGAACACGGGGAGTAGCTGTGTTGCCTAAACAAGCAGGCCTGCAGGCTCCAGTTGTTTAACTTGCGCTCTTTCCAGTGACCACACGCAAAGAAACAGCAGCTCTATCTCCTAAAAGTACTTGAGTAGCTACGTGGCTTGGTAGGAATGCCTAACCCCAAATGGCTTTCATAGGTTAGCAGGGCAAAATAAGCCTTGCTGTTAGCCTAATTTGGGATCCTGGAGGGCCAAGAACTGAAATAGCTGTGTTCTCATTCCTCTGCTGCTCTGAAGTAGCCACTGCTTAGCCAGCCAGGCTGGCCAGCGAGCCCTGCAGCAACAGCCAGCCCTGGCACTCTCCGTTCTCACTTCTGCCAGCCATAGGCTCCTCCAGCGACGTGGCATCGCCCTCTGATGCCCTCGCAAAGAAACCTTGGGGGGGTTGACCCCTCTCTGGCCTCGCGGGGTGGCCGCTGTCACCGTGAGCCCGTGTCATACCTGCTCTGTGGGCAGCTCTCGGCACGAGCGCGGCGGCCGTGACCGCAGCTGGACTGCGTAAGCCCAGAGATCGTATTTCTCTGTGCCGCAGATTCAGCAAAGTGGGCTGCTGAGGGAGAGTTGAAGAAGTCATAAAAGTCCCATCAATGGGTTTTATTGTGCTCTTGCTACATGGCAGACGGTACCCCAGCCTTGTGTTACACGAGGTGTAGGAGACTCCGCAGCTAATGTTGCTACCTGATGTTCTTTAGGTAGCAACAACTTGTCAAACTCCCTCCTAGAGACACTCAGGATGCTCAGCACCATGTATTTTGCCTACCAAAACCTGCTAGTTCAGCCCGTCTCCTGTTACGTACCTCCAGCTGGAGAAATAAAAGGCTTTGGAAGAAGTGGAGAATGGGACTGTTAGACCTGTCCTCAACAGCTCATGACTTCAACCATCCCCATGCCACCTTCATCCAGCTGAGATGTTGGGGAAGGAGGGAGGAGCACCAGCTCCATCAGGACTCACTAGCTGTCTTACAGACACTTAAGCGTTGCCGCCGTGCTGGAGCAGGCAGTTGGAAGCTGTCTTGTCATCTCTGGGTGCCTGCATCTGGGAACAGTTTGGGTTTTGCTTATATGGAAACATGGGCAGCTCTGGAACTGATGCTGAGGGCTAGAGCTGAGAATTTCTGCTTAGAATAGGCTGTAAACCGGTGAAGAAAGATTTTCATGTGAGAGCCCCAAATATGATTGTGGCCTTGGGAACCATAGTGGAGCCTGAGGTTTTGAGTCATGGCAATTTGGTGGCTGCTGAAGATAAAAGGGCCAAGCCTAGGAGGGACAGGCTCAACATGGGGCGTGCTTCTGTCTGCCACTGTTGAGGACTCTGGAAAGTGCTGGGCCTGGGTCTGGTTAGGACAGTGCTAACTGTGTCTGTGGCTCTGTTTCAGCTGCTTTCTTCCAAGACTGCATATCTGAACAGGACCTGGATGAAATGAATATCGAAATAATTCGAAACACGCTCTATAAGGTAAATGAGTCTCTGGGAAGGGCAGGACATGTTGTTGTCCCTGGTTTTTCCTAGTGTGAGTACCACTCTGGCTTGGGTTGGGAGCTCCAAGCTATGCTGGCTTTCCTCAATCAAAGATGAGACAGTATTTTTCCTCTTGGAAGAATAACTTAAAAATACCTTTATCACCACTCCAGGGAAGAAAGAGAGAGAAAGCAGTCATGATCAAGAATTAGCTGCATCCATTGGAAAGTTATGGACATTGCTTTTGGAGGGGCCTGATATCTGGTCACCCAGCTCTGCTGAGCCAGGGCACCAGGGCTAGGTGGAGTGGGGGGTTTTGGAAATATCAGGAGTCTGTGCAAGAGATTTTTGCAGAGGTGATGCATCTGAATAAATTTCCTCAGGCCCCAGGCATGCAGGAGGAGGCTGCTCCTTAGCCACACAAGTTTAGATGTGTAGTTAACTGCATTCAGAGGGCTGAAAGTGTGTAGGTCTTGAATCTGGTTGAAGGAGTTCCATGAGCTTGTCTCTCTGTCCAGAGCTCTTTCAGAAGAGCCTCCAGCAGCCTGCTCGAGCCTTCAGTGGCAGTGGCTGTGGCTGGGGTCAGATGCTGTTGGTAGAGCAGCACAGAGGGTGCAGCAGGGCTGGGGGAGTCCTGCAGGCGGGGGAGAGGACTGGCAGAGGGACGTGGAGGGGCGAAGGATCTCCTCGTCCTGCCGTCTCCTCTGCAGGCCCCATCTGGTTCTAGCTGGCTGTAGCAAAGCGCGTGTTTACGTGCAGGCTGTGGCTATCTCTCCATCTCTGCTCTCCGGATGAAGGGTGGGATGCAGATCTTATCTGCCAACCTCGTTTTGGCCGGTCGTGGCCGGCCCGCGGTCGCCGTGACCTCTGCTTACTCCAGGAAGGCTTCCGTGGCCCGTCGGGAGAGGCAGAGAACAGGTCGGGCGTGCAGGGAGGAAGAAGGCCAGGGTGGGAGGGGAGAAGGAGCTGCCTGTCGGCGGTCTCACCCCGCTGCCTGCAGCCTCTGGCACATGCTGGTCTGTGCTGTGCCGGGGCAGGAACGGCTGGGTGCAGAGTCAAACACCCCCAGCCTTGATGGGTGCAGACCTGCGTGGAGAGGAGGAGGTGGGAGAGCGAGCGCAGGGCAGGCAGGTTTGGGTTAGGAGTGGGGGAAATGATCTTCTTGAGTCCCAGCTGCCATGTCCTTTCCCATCTCCTTTTTGAGGCCTGAATCTTCTTTGCATTCTGCCCTTTTGCCTCCAGGTTGAAACCCTGGCGTGTGCCGGGGCTGATCCCTGCTAAAGAGCAGCCCTCGGGGAGCACAGGAGCCCTGTTGGGAACAAATCACAGGGGTGGAAGGATGGAAAAGGGAACTGTTGCTTACAGACACTTGCTTGAAGCCACCTCTCTCCCCAGGGACTGGAAAATGTGGACTACAGTGGAAATGAGGGAAATAAAACCAGGTCTGAAATTGCAGAGCCGCTCTGAGGAGTGCAGCGGGTGGGTGCCTGGGATGGATGCCTGTGTCCAGGAGGAGCTGGCATGGGAAGGGGAAGTCCTGCCTCCCAGACCTGCTAGAGGTCTTCTGAAGGAATCTGTGAAGACATAGACAATAGATAGAAGGTTTGAGCAGGATTCATAGGAGAGAGGCAACTACAAAGGTTTCTTGTTAGCGATGACAGGTGAGAAGGTTCTGGAATGGAAATCTGGTCAAGTTGAGGAGCAGAGGTTAAAAATAAGCAGTCAGCTCTTGGTCTAGAGGGTGGTCAGCAGTGGAGTCCTGCAACAGAGACTTTCTGGCACTGCTACCTTCAGTGCTCACTCCCCATTTTACCACATCTTTGCAACAGATATGTTGAAGTAAAGCTGCCTGACTGTTGGCCTCTGCTGGTGACCTTCTTGTAGGAACCAGCTGAAGGAGCTTTGTAACTGGACAATAAAATACAGCAGGCAAATGAATGTAGAGAGATGCAATGTATGGGAGAGGCAAGGATGTAATTCTAACTCTGCTTGTACAGCGAGGGTCTCCTTGTTCCTTTCTGCTCCTGAATGAGATCTTGGGGCATGATTGACCTAAGCAAGTATCTCTCTACAAGGTAATTTGCTCCTCAGAGTAGAAAACTACACCAATATCACTGTGCTCTTGCATATCACTTGCAATATCACTGTGCTCTGCGCTCCAGGGGTGGCACATGCTGGAGATGGTGTTTCTTTGATGTGTGATGCTCACCCAGCAGTGTCCCCTCGAGCTGTGTGGTGACAAATATTTACAGAACGCAGTCATCCAGGTGCTTTCCTAGCGCAAAGGCTGAGGGTGTGCCAACACACGCGTTCTTGGTCCCTCTTCAGTCCTGGAGTTGTTGTGACCGAGCAGAGATTTGCGGTGTCTCAGCATCAGTTTATTCCATCCATTTGGAGTGGTTCTGGTTGCAGCTCTCTGTCCGGGGAGGTGTTTGATCACATGATGACTCCTTCTGAGAAAGTTTTTGCTGAACAGCACTTTTAGCCATGCACAGCCTTCCTGGGCTCCCCCTGGGAGGTGGAACAGTCTTCCAGCTGGATTACGGTACATCTCCGCAAAGGATTACGTTTCCTGGAGGCAGCGTGGCTGTGCCTGGCCTCAGATGTTCTCTGCAGCTCTCCGGTTGGGATGGAGACCAGGCGGCTGCCGTGTGAGAAGAGGATTGCAGAGAAGGGCTGGTTTCCTTCACAGCTGTCCTGCCTCATCCCTTCGACTCTGCTTACACAGCGGTACTTTCTGAGCGTAGGCCTTGCAGCTATACTTGTGTGGCTTGGCATGTTCGGGGAGGCCAGAGCCGGGTCAGGAAACCACGTGAGGCTTCAGTAAATGCTTTGGAGTGAGACGGCTCAAAGGAGCAAAACAGGCTTCGCCCCTGCTGCCGAGGGAGCTTGCCTGCAGGAAGCTCCAGCAGTCACTTGAGCAAACCCAACCACAAGCCATCATGGCTCCAGCTTCTGGAGGAGTGCTGTCCCTTGTGTGGGCTTGGCATCCAAGTTCACACAGGGTGAGAGTTCTGCATTATAGAGCATCTGGGAATGTCCCTGGTGCTGTCTGTCCTCTGCCGAGTGGCACATGGCAGTAGAAGAGGCTGTGTGGAAGGGTGCTCATCTGCTCTCTCTCTTCCAGGCTTACCTGGAGTCCTTCTACAAGTTCTGCAAGGTGCTGGGAGGTACCACGGCAGATGCCATGTGCCCGATCCTGGAGGTAGGTCTTAGAAAACCCTGCAGCTGGATGGTGGTGTGGTGATACTGCTCTGCTCAGGCCCAGCTTGAATGGCAGCATTGAGTGCTTGAGAGAGTCTGCAGCATCCACCTGCTCCATGGGCAGGAGAGCACTGCCTGTATTTGGTCTTGGACGGGTTTGGTTCCCCAGTCCTGGTCTTCACAGAATCATAGAATGGTTTTCTGTGGGCAGCTTGTGCCAGGGGCTCACCACCCTCAGTGTCAAACATTTCTTCCTGCTCTCTAGTCTAAATTTCCTTCTTTTAGTTTAAAACCACCAACCGTTGTCCTGTCCCAACAGGCCCTGCTAAAATGATCGTCCTCAACTTTTTTAGTCCCCCTTGAAGTCCTGTCAGGCCACCAGAAGGTCTCCCTGGGGCCTTCTCCTTTGCAAGTTGCCCAAACCCAACTCTCTCCTGCTGGGCTCCCAGCAGAGGGGTTGCCCCCTCGAGTCATTGCTGGGGCTCCTCTGGCCCTGCTCCAGCAGGTCCCTGTCTCTGCTGTGTTGAGGACTCCAGAGCTGGACACAGCACTCTAAATCTTGCCAGGTGCTGACACATCTGTTGCCTTTGTGGCAACATCTTCCTCCTCTCGCCCAGCAGAAGCAGCAGAGCTGTTCTGTGCACAGCTGCTCTCCATGCCAAGGCATGGGATGTGCAGGGCTCGGGGACAGTAGGATGGGAGAGACTCCTTGACCTGGACAGGGTTCTGCTGAGTGGTTTGGGGATCTTCCCACCTGACCGCTCTCCAGGCATCAGCTACTGGGCATACTGGGAGCCCACCCTGGCTGAGCACTGCATGTCCCAGGGCAGCTCCTGCTGCGGCTCCCTCAGAAGCAGCATTGGTCCCTGCTGGCCTCTGGCAGAGGTGCTGCATCCCAAGGTGACCCGCTCTTCTCTGGCTCTTCTCCCGCAGTTCGAAGCGGACCGGAGAGCCTTCATCATCACCATCAACTCCTTCGGGACTGAGCTGTCCAAGGAGGACCGAGCGAAGCTGTTCCCGCACTGTGGGAAGCTCTACCCCGAGGGCCTGGCTCAGCTGGCCAGGGCAGATGACTATGAACAAGTCAAAAATGTTGCTGACTACTACCCTGTGAGTGCTTCGGGGTGGGGACTGGCACGAGAACCTGCTCTGGGTCAGCTCCTCGGGGATCTGGGGGGGACTTGTGGCCTGGGGAGAAGGGTGTCAGTCTTCTCTTGGCCAGGATGGAGTTGGCTTGCTTGGGATGCCATTGGCTTGTCCTTGCAGTGGAGACAGGGACACCAGGCATGTCCCGTGTGCCCTGTGCTAGGGCCTGGGGACTGCCCTTCCCACAGTGACAGTCTCTCTCCAGCTGGCTGGGGGTTGAGGCGTGTCCCCAGCTCTGGTGGGTCACTCTGAGCTCTGGGTCAGTGGCGGCGCTGACCTGGGAGGACACGTTTGGATGTTCCTGGGCTCCTTAAGCTGCTCTTGCGCGTGGCTGGGGACCTGTTTGGAGTCAAAGAGCTCGGCGTCCCGTTCTTGAAGCAGCCAGGGCATGAGGACCTGGCCCAAACACTCCAGTCTCTATGTAGAGGGGTCTGTGCATGGTGCCTCCTCCCTGTGGGCTCAAAGCGATGCTACAGCTTCGAGACCTGCACATTTCATTGGGAATCTCCTCTTGTAACACTTCCTGCAGGAGTACAAGCTGCTGTTTGAAGGGGCTGGCAGCAACCCTGGAGACAAGACCCTTGAAGACAGGTTCTTTGAGCATGAGGTGAGTGAACCCCCAGAGCCTTCTCCGCCTAGTGCCTGCCGGTGGCACTTGCAGAGCTCAAGGTAGCAGCAAGTTGTCTGCTGCCTGGTCAGCAGCGCTGTGGGTGAACAGAGTTTGGGAGAAGGAAGAGGACAGGGAGGGAGGGCCCAGCAAGGGGATGGGGTGCCCAGCATGGTGCTCAGTCCATCTTCTCACCCAGACAGATTACAGCAGTGTGGGAGGCAAGTTTTGGGCTGCTGGTGGACATTTGCTCCATCAATAGCAAAACCAGAGTGTAATTATGTGAGAAAGGAGGATTTTCACAGTACCTGAGGGTATAAATATTTCCCCTTTCAAATGTCAGAGCCTATCCTGAAGGTCAGAGCCGCCCTCAGGACCTAGAGAGATGCAGAACAGGGTACCTGTGCTGAGCCTTCCGACCTTCCAAGGCTGCTCCATGCTTGCTCCTCCTACCTGGGGTGGACAAGTGACATGTCCTCCTCTGGGCTTTCCCCAGGTGAAGCTCAACAAGCTGGCCTTCCTCAACCAGTTCCACTTTGGTGTCTTCTACGCCTTCGTGAAGCTGAAGGAACAGGAGTGCCGCAACATCGTGTGGATCGCCGAGTGCATCGCCCAGCGGCACAGGACCAAGATCGACAACTACATTCCCATCTTCTAACCGGCCCTGCTCCTCTCCCACCCCTGGAGTCTGGGGGGACCCCCATCCAGCTCCCCCAGTTCTCCCTTGCCCAGACTCCAGGGATATCCCATCTGTGGAACTGGCTGAGATGAGGAACCTGTACAGTCACTAGTTAAATTATTCACGAGCTGAAGCTTGAGCTGTGTGTGCCGTGAGGGGGTCTGAGGGCCCAGGGTGCAGCTGATGGTCCCTGTGTCACTGGGCTCATCTGCTGTCTGCTCCTAGAGCAAGCACGGGGTGGGGGGGATTGCTGGCTCCAAGGGGATCCCACCACAGCAGAGGAGCACACGGGAGGTCCTCTACCCGTGCTCAGTGTGGCTCCTAGTCAGTGTTGTTCCGTGAGGTTTAGTTTGCCTGTGACTTGTAACGTAGCCCGTGCTCCTGTGCGTCCCCCCATCCCCCTGGAGCTACTCCTGACCTGGGAGAGGTTGAGCAGCCCTGGCTGGCACTGGAACCGAGCCTGTGGGAATGCCAGGGCAGAGCCAGAGTGCTTGTGGAGCACATTTGTCCACCCTCCACCTGTGTCCCCACCTCCCCCTGGCCTCAGAAGCAGCTCTCATCACTCTCCCTCCTGCCCTGCAGCTCGAGAGGGCTCTGTAACCTGGCTGAGCTCCTTCCTGCCACCCAGACCCAGGGCTTGGAGCTTGCCCTCACAACCGCACCAGAGCCAGGAGGTCCTTTTGGCTCTGCAGATGGTGCTGGAGCCCTGCACTGCCCCAGGGCAGCCGTGCTCTCCTCCACGGAGCCGAGCAGCCCTTGGTCCCCCGGATGTGTGCAGAGGGCAGCTGTGGGCAGAGATGTCCCAGGCCCTGCCCGTCTGTGGTCAGGGGGTGGGAGCCAAGCCCTGGGCATGGCATGGCAGCCCTGCTTGGGCTCCTGGCCAGCTCCCAGCTGACTGGCCCATGGCAGCAGAGAAGCTTTGCTGGTGGGAAATAGGTGCTTGGTGCTGCTGCTGGGACAGATGGATGGATGCATGCATGGAGAGGGGCTCTGTCCCATCTTGTGCTGTGGTCACCTCTGCAGTGTTTGTTATCCTGTGATCCCCTCCTCTTGACACTAATAAATATCTGCCTACTGCACTGTGCTCTCCCTGCTTCCTTGGGCACCTGCTCCCATCTCCCCAAGAGGAGCCTCTGTCCACCCCAGGGCCCCGTACCCAGGGAAGGGGACATCTGTGGTAGCAGAGTCCGGTGCGACTCCTCCGTGACGTGTTTCTGCCACGGGCAGGGTGGTTGTGCCAGCCCTCGGTTGGCACAGCCGGCTGTGACTCAGCTCCGCGTCCCCGAGGGCGCGGGGCAGCACGGGGAAGGAGACTGCCCGAGCCCGGCGGCGTATCAAGAACAGATTTATTTAAAAAGTGACAATCACGTAGTTCATCTCGTGAAGAGCTGCGTGGCACCAGCCTGGCCTCAGCCCCCTGCGCTCGCCGGGAGCACGTGGAGTGTGTCACACGAGGGGCAGGG